TCATCCGCCTTCTGACGGATCGCCTGGACGAAGATGTACCACGCAGCAAGCGACTAGGCTCCGACGCGGGCAGTAATGTTTTGGTCTACATGACTGGTCACGGCGGCGACCAGTTCCTGAAGTTCCAGGACTCCGAGGAAATTGGGGCCTGGGACCTGGCGGACGCCTTCGGTCAGATGTGGGAAAAGAAGCGCTACCATGAGCTCCTGTTCATGATTGATACCTGTCAGGCCAACACTATGTATACGCATTTCTACTCGCCGAACATCATCGCCACCGGATCCAGTGAGCTTGACCAGTCTTCCTACTCCCACCATGCGGACAACGATGTCGGGGTTGCGGTGATCGATCGCTGGACATACTATGTGTTGGAGTTTTTGGAGACACAGGTGACGAGTGCCAACTCGAAGCTCACGCTGGGCGATTTGTTCGACTCGTACGATGAGTCCAAGATCCATTCCCAGCCGGGCGTCAGGTGGGACCTGTTCCCTGGCGGCGAGCAGGAGGGACGGCTTCGCACCGTGGCAGATTTCTTTGGGAATGTCCAGAACGTCGAAGTCGAGAATGTTAATGCGACCGAGCCAGGCTCGTTGCAGGAGGATTTGATTGAGATTGCCCGACTCGTGAACAAATGGCGCGCCCGCGACCAGGACTATCTCGCCCGGCAGAACGAGTCCTTGGTGTCAAAGGATGCCAGTGCGCATGAGGAATCTTCCCCGCATTACACGGTCAGGACCAAGGTTGGGCCGGCGAAGATGTCGGAGGAATCTACGTGGCAGAAGCGGTTGGTCGGGGTTTCCGTCCTGGGCGCGTGTGCTGCTGTCTGGCTTACGGGATCGATCTTGGGCGGGACCTCGGCTTGATCTTGGGGCAGAATATTGCATTTGATGCGTGTTATAAACTACTTCTGAGTTTACTGACCTGGAGGCTAGAGCATATCTGCACCCGGGGTCTATGTTAACCGGATAGCGCAGGGATGGCGTTTCAGGTGTCCTTTTCTTTCCATACAATCTTGCACCGTTATAATCAGCATAGCATGTACACAGATGAATGCATTGTTTCTTGAACAGACATCCAGCCTAGGGCAAGGCAATATGCTTTGGGACTAAACCCAAGTTCAAGCCACGCTTTGAGGATAAAACCAATAGTTTCGACAGCCAATTTAGGAAAGCCATTCCCATTGCCCCTCGAAACAAGCCCGACTGCAGTGCAACATTCTGAAGAAGTGAAGAACGTGGAGACCTGCAACATGCCAACGAGCAGCGCCTTTTGAGTAAAATTGATTTTATTTGCGAAGAGTAAAACCCGGGCTTGGCGGGCGGACCTCCGCACGTGCCAGACGCGTCTTCGGGCTGGCGATGCGCGCCGCTCGATTATTACATCGCCTGGTTTCCGCAGAAAACACCCACAAGCAACAACAACATCAGGAAACAATGGCGTGGACGACTTTTGTCTCTTACCTCTGAGTCGCCGCCAAATAAGTCTATCTGCCTAGTTTCCTGTTCTACGACTCAGATTTAGAATTCTAGGCACTTCTCAGTACTCTCCGACACGGCCCTATCCCTCCCTCTCGTCGCCCTCATACTTGCCCACCCGCGTGCTTCAGCCAATTCCTCCTTCGCTCACTAACTGAATAGAACCACACCACCTCCTACCGCGACTGCTTTTTCTCTCACGGCCTGACGAGGGTTCAACAAAAGGCCCCATTCGACCCTCTTCACGCCGCGAATCCAATTCTAACCGCCATGTATCTCCCCCGCCAACTCATCTCCCACCTTTACCAACAACTCCTCCGCTCACACCACCCACTCTCCCCACCTGTTCTGATCCTCGTGGCCCTCGAACCCGATGCTCTCTGTGCCTGTCGGATTCTCACGGCGCTCCTGAAGCGCGACTACATCCCGCACAAGATCCAGCCGGTAGCCGGGTATGGCGATCTCGCGCGCGCGGGCGAGGAATTGGTCAAGCCCATGCGGACGAACAATGGCGGGAGTGGTGGGGTAGTTGTGTGTCTGGGGGTGGGCGGCCTGGTGGATTTGAGCGAGATATTATGCTTGAGCAGTGAGGAGGAAGAGGAGGAAGAAGATATGGGCGGGGTTGAGGTGTGGGTGTTTGATGCTAGGCGGCCGTGGAACCTGGCTAATGTGTTTGGGGGTGAGGGGCGGCCGTCTGCGGCGGCTGATGCTATGGGGATGGTGAATCTGGGTGCGAGACGAGGGTCGCGCGGTGTTGAGAAAGGGTGTATTACGTCGGCGTATACGTCCGGCAATGGGGGCATTGTGGTTTATGATGATGGGGATATTGAGGAGGAGTTGGGGAAGGAGCGGGAGGCATATTGTGAGTTACTGGCTATGCCCGAAGTGGGTGAGGAGGATGAAGACGAGGATGAGGATGGGGACTCAGGGAGTGATCGCGACGAGGATCATCCCTCGAGTTCGGATTCCAAGAAACGCAAGTCGTGGTCGCGCGAGGATGAGGACGACGAGTCGGATGACGAAGATGGGCCTCCACGTCAGCGAAGAAGGAGTGATTCGGTGTGTAGTATTCGTTCTTGCTGTGCTGAGGCCGGTGCTAATGTGCTCATTGTAGGGGTCCTATATCATTTCATCGCCGTCACGCCCTCCGCGGAGAGCTATGCATGATTCGTCCAATTCGTCTCGCTCGGTTACACCAACATCAGATTCACCATCGCCGGTACAACCCAAGCCGCCGTCGGCGCGCACGTTACGACGACGATTGCTGCGCATGAAGAGGAAGCACGAGAATGTGCTACAGAGTTACTATTCGTCGGGGACGTCGTATTCGGAACCGATATCGTCCATCGTCTATTCCCTTGCGTCCGAGCTCGGTCGTGAAGACAACGATCTGCTGTGGCTGGCCATTGTGGGTGTCTCGAGCTTGGAACTGAGTGGCCGTACCATGTCTGGAGTGGGTGTGTCGAATGCGCTGGAGTACGGGGGCTCAGCTGGCTGGGGTGGAGAGAGAGGCGAGCGAATACGGCAGATTCTACGCGATGAGGTCCTGCGATTAAACCCCCCTGATCCATATGAGCGAGATCGCGACATCAGAGGCGAAATCAACGGCGTCATTCCGACTACGGCACGGTCTCCGACGGACAAGTCAATCCGGCTATCGCCTGAACCGCGTTTCATCCTCGTGCGGCATTGGTCGCTCTATGACAGTATGCTACACAGCCCGTATCTGGCATCCAGACTTCATGTGTGGACGGAGAATGGAAAGAAACGACTACACAAACTGCTGGCGAAGATGGGCATTAGCTTGAACCAGAGCCATCAAAACTATACCCATATGGATATGGAGCTGAAGCGAGTACTACGACAACGTCTCTTGAAGTATGCGCCAATGTACGGCTTGGACGGACTTGTTCCGCCGGAGGCGTCTGGGCATGCCGTCTCTCGCGAGGGATGGGGTTTTGTACGCTGTTGGGGCTGGAAAGCCTGTCTCTCTGCCACCGATGTGGGTGTTATCGTCGGTGCAATCCTTGAAGTCGGGCCTGAAGAAACCCCCGGGGTGTGGGATGCCAAACGCGCGTCCAAAACGGCTACAGCGACCAATGCTGATGGGTCTACCGAGTCAGATCTGGCCAGCCTGCTGCCCCGTTTTTGGAGTGCCTACGACGCTCTGTCATTGACTTCGGAGTCGCCGACGCTCCTGCTGTCATCTCTCCCTCTTGCTCAGCACCTGCACCGGGCCATTCTTCGCACTGGCACTTCTCTACTCGCAAAGCACCAAATTCGTCATTTGCGAGCGTTCCGCATCGCCGTTGTCAAAGATGGTCCGGACGTGAAGCTCTTCACCAATCCAGGGGCATTGACCAAATTGGCCTTGTGGGTTGCTGAGGCGATCCGGGTACAAGAGAGGGAACGAGGAGACTCCGTCAAGGTAGGACGCAGGCGGGCCCTGGGCACACCGCTTGTTCTTGCTGGGCTTGACGAGGACCGGGGTTTGTATGTGGTCGTGGGTACAGGAGGAGGTGGCGGAGTGGTTGACTTCGCCGCCCTCGCCAAACGGCGAGAGGAACGAAGGAAAAAGAAAGAAGCCAAGGAGAAAAAGCGCAAGGAGCGGGAGGAGCGTCGGGCGCAGCGCGCTGCCGAGCGCGCTGCCAACGGTGAAGATGACGAGGAAGAGGAGGAGACGGAGGAATCGTCTTCTGAATCCGAGTCCGAGTCGGAAGACGAACAGGACCTGCGCAGCAACAAGCACCTTCTGCGGAATAGGTTTGGAATCGCGTTCCAGGAAGTGGTGCAAGAAACCAGTGCTCGAGTACGCATTGATAGCTTTGAGCACTGCGTGGTGGAGGTGCAGAAGGAAGACCTGGGAGGCTTCCTGGAAGCGCTGAGCTTCCGCAGTGTTGTCGGTTGAAACAGTCCATCCTGACTGTCCCTTCTTTTTCCTTGCGTCATGCTCTTCATTCTACGTTAATCACAACGTGTCTGCTAATGCACTCTCCTATGTCGTGTCTAGGGTGGTTTTGGTTCTGCTTTGCATCAATTCGCGAGGATTGAGGTTAATTGGGGAGGAGTGTTGGGATACAACCAGGGGTTTTTGTCTTCTTTTTCTTCTTTTCTTTCTGCTTCTCATGGAAAATACAAGGGAGGACATGTATAATGACGGATTGGAAGCCATCTGTGCGATCATTGAATCTCCTTTTGTCACTTCATTTCAGTTCACTCACGATGACCGGCTTGCATTGCTGCACATGTCATGGCGCTTTGGGGGATTCTGCATGGGTTGCTTGTTTGTCACTGCCCTGATCTTCCTATGGATATAGCATGCGAGACAGGAGTTACCTTTTTGAATTGACCAACATTTTGGATCCATCAGCTGTTCCTGTTATGATATGTTTTGCTGTTTGGTGGAGATATCCAGCTGCATCGGCTTTCTCTCCGATCCCCGCTTCCCCTCCATTTCAACTCTTCTTGCTCCACCTCACATTATATTAAAGCATCTCAATTGCTTCTCTCCCCAATTGAACCTCCCCAGAAACCATCCCACACAATTGACTGACAATGGCCACTCCCCGCGAATACCCCGTGGTGCCCCGCGAGAGCACCCTATCCCAGCTCCCCCCAGAATCCTCTCTCAACGCACAAGACCAAATCTCCGAGCTCCTCTCCACCGCATCCCTCAGTCGTCTCGTCGTGCTCGACGACGACCCAACCGGCACCCAGACATGCCATGACATCGCCGTCCTCACAGTCTGGGACATCCCAACTCTCCAGGCCGAACTGCAACAACCCTCCCCGGGCTTCTTCATCCTAACCAATTCGCGCGCCCTACCCCCCATCGACGCCGAGAAGCTCATCCGCACCGTCTGCGAAAACGTCCAACAAGCCGCCAACCTCGCCGGAACCACCGTGGACATCGTCCTACGCGGCGACAGTACTCTCCGCGGCCACTTCCCCCTCGAAGCCGACGTCGCGCAATCCGTCTTCGGTCCCGCCGACGCCATCATCCTCGCCCCATTCTTCTTCCAAGGCGGCCGTCTCACCATCAACGACATCCACTACGTCGCCGAAGGCGATAACCTCGTCCCCGCCGGCGCAACCCAGTTCGCCCGCGACGCCACCTTCGGTTTCAAGAGCTCCAACCTCCACGACTACGTGCTAGAGAAGGCGCCGGGACGATTCACCCCGGAGCAAATCCACTCCATCACCATCGAGGACATACGAATCAATGGCCCCAGCACCATCTGCGACAAGCTCCTCGCCTTGCCCAAGGGGAGCGTAGTGATCGTCAACGCCGCAGCGGAATCAGACATGCACGTCTTCGTCGCCGGCTTGCTCAAAGGTACCTACCCCCATCCCCATCACCACTACTCTCCTCTACCCCCCAAAGCCTATCTAATAAAATCCCAGCGAAATCCCAATCCCAAAACCACTACCTCTACCGCACCGCCGCAGCCTTCGTCTCCACAAACCTCGGCATCCGTCCCCAACCCCCGCTAACAGCCTCCTCCTTCCCCTCCGAGACCCAGCCTAATAGTAAAACCGGAGGAACCCTAATAATCGCCGGCTCCTACGTCCCCAAAACCACCGCGCAGCTCAACCACCTAACGACCAAGCACGGTCCCGGTGGCACAAACACCCTCTCTATCATCGAGCTCAACGTTGAAGACATCATCGCCACCACCACCACACCCACCAACACTACCGAGGACTCCTCCCCCCTTGACCCCATAATCACCTCAACAGTAACAGCCGTCGAATCCTCCCTCCTGTCAGGAAAAGACGTCCTCGTCATGACAAGCCGGAAGCTCATCACGGGGGGAGACGAACTCTCCAGTCTAGCGATTGGGGGCCGCGTGGCGGAGGCGTTGGTGGAGGTGTTGAAACGGGTGAAGGTACGGCCGAGGGTGATTATTGCCAAGGGGGGGATTACGTCGTCTGATGCGGCGACGAAGGGGTTGGGGATTAAGCGCGCGATGATTCTGGGGCAGGCGGCGCCGGGGGTGCCGCTTTGGAGGTGTGATGAGGAGACGGCGAGGCATAGGGGCGTGCCGTTTGTGGTTTTTCCGGGGAATGTTGGGGGCGTGGAGACGTTGGGGGAGATTGTGGAGGGGTGGAGGTGATGGATTCCCTTATTGGGGGGAGGGGGGATTTGTATATATGGAGGCTACTACTACTAGATATTTGCTCTGCTATAGAGAAAGTGGTGATGAGGTTAGTGGCCCTGGGCCACGAATTGTACCTTCATTTGCAACTAGACCTAGTAACTGTAACTGTAACTCTGGCATATACACACCAGAAACTAAGGCAGACCAGGAGGGGGAATGAACGCTATGTACAGCTGCAGAATTATCTGGCCGGGTCTGTCTCGCCTCACTCTCTCCCTTCCAGAGAAAAAGTCCGGCTCTTACAGCTGCTATCATATCATGGCTGGCCGTATTCTAATATACCTGCATGAGAGAAGAAAAACAAGAAGCAAAAGGAAAAAGGGAACGCAATACGATGATGACAGATGGGGCAAATGATGGTTGGTCAACAGTGAAAAACAGAAGAAAGAAGAGTAAACCAACCTTGTACATCTGACCTCCCGGTTATCCGAGCTGGTGATCGCAAAAGGAATTTGCAATGCATACCAGATCAACTGCGGTGATGGTCAGAGTCAGTCAGCTGGGGTTATTTGCTCAAATCATTAATGTATGCTCATCCAGATTGGTGGGATTTGGTTGGATTTCAAACCCGGATACCGTGGTGCTTTATATGGTTTGTGTCTCTTGGACTGTTTATGGGGGCCTGCCCCGGCGCGAGTGGGAGCTTCTTCAGACTTCATATGAACTCAATTCAGGCGGGCATTGCTGTGTTGGCGATTCCGTTGGAGGGGACTTGGCGTTTGGCAGCGGGGTGGGACGGGTCCTACGCAGACAGTCGATATCAGTCATACCCAAACACGGAGAACGATCGAGCACTAGGCGACTTGCGAAGAGTCGAAGTTCGTATGGTAGCCGGTTCGCTGCTCGTAAGCTACTTTGGCTTTCTTGCATGCACTTACGTCCAAGGATTCGATGTTGCGTTTCTGACCGCTGATCTCGGCTTTCTTGACGATCTTCTTCTTCGGGCGGGTAGGGCGAGTCTCTCCCGGTTGGAACACATCCTCGGGAAGATCAAAGCTGACGGGAGTTAATCGGAAACTTATGCTGCAGGTAACAGGCCACTCACTTGCGGACGTGGGTGATCGCTAGATCATTGATACCGGGCTGGTATCCTGGCCACGAGGTACACGTCGACTTGAAGATCTGGGCATCGGTCGAGATATCCAACGACCGGGAGGCACCTACAAAGTCAGTGGATTCACAAAGGTGGTCGATCCTACGTACCTGGCTCGAGTGGCTTAAGCTCCAACCCGATATAGTAAGTCGTTGTGTACATGACGTGAGTGTCATCAACGGGCTTATTCTCAGCTGCTGCAATATCAGTGTTCTCTGCCCCGTTCTGGGCCGCAGCCTGGTGGGCCGCATCCTTCATCTCATCGGTGGTCTCAGTCTTTGTTCCCTTATCTTGGTACTTGGTAGATCCGGTCTTGACAGCCTCGATTTCCTCCTCCGAAGAGACACGATGAACTCTCTCGAATCCCTTGGGGAAGGGGTGCGCGATGGCGATGGTTGCTTTCCTGTCCAGAGCTCCAACAAGGTGTCTGATCTTAGACTCAACAAGACCGGACCAGACCGACTCTGCCTCCTTGGTTCTGCTCGATGCGGTGATGCTGAGGTAGTATTTGTAATCCTTGGTGAAGAATGTGTGTCGCGCGAACAGATCTTCCCAGCGCAGCTGTTTCAAAAAAATCTTGTCCACGATGTCTCCACCACGCTGGAGTTCACGAAGAATGACTGCTTTGGTGGACATGGAGACGTTGTGGGTCGCACACATGGAGGGGTAGGCAGGAGTGATGATAGGCATCAGGTGGAAACGGTCGCCGTGGTAAATCTATTGCTCATTAACGGTCATGCCAAAGCTCCTATGTGCTCCTGGGCCTTATCCTTACCTTCGGATTCCAGACCTTCATCTGCAGAGGCCCATCTTCAATCGGCTTCAATAGAACCGGCTGAGGCCAAGCCCACTTGTTCATGATCCGGAAGAATTTGCCCACAATCACCGAGCCAGTAGCCTGGGGGTACAACTGACACACTCTCGCCACCAACATGGCCCAAGCAACACCACCCGGAAAACCGACAATGTTCGAATAAATCGCACGGCCTGTGAAGACTTAGTAAAGCCCATCTTAGACAAAGGTAGAGCGCTTACGTTGAGCCCAAAGCTTGATAGCGCGCAAAGCAAGCCGGAACGTCTTCTGCTGGGGCACGAGCTCCAAAATTTCGTCCGTCACACGAGTGCCGTTGAGCGACCGGACCTCCCTCTCATCCAAACCCCGCAAGTAATCATTGTTCTTAAGATCCAAGTTCATAGGAATGGAAGGAATGATCAAGCGAGCAAAGATCAAATCGATACTAATGCCGGACAATTCGAGTTTGATAATCGGAACGTAGGCGTCGGGGACCGGAGTCATCTTCTCGATAGCTCCCGGAGCAGCCATCTTCTCTAGGATCGGAGGGAAATCCGAAAAGAAGTCATCGATAATAACATGCTTCGGGCCGACAACCAAGGTATCAATATCCGAGCCTGGTCCATAAACACCCAGGCGATAACTTCCGTACGTGAAGATCTTCCCTCCGGCGGCCTCGACAGCTGCTTGAGAGAGGCCCTTCTTCCGACTGACTGTTTTGACAAATTCGACGGTAACACGCTGGATGAGCTGCAATACTTGTTTCCTAGAGCGCAATTGCATGCTTAGCGCCCATGCCGGTTGACCTTCACGAAACCATCACGGATCGGCCTCTTACCTTCGTTCCGTCTCCGCAGGGCTCTCGAAATTATTCTGCACCTTCAACTCCGTGATAAGATCATCGTTTGCTGCAAGCTCGTCGGGGGTCGGTAGAACGGTGGAGATGGGAGGGGTAACTCCCCATTGTCTGACTGGTGGTGCCGCCATACTGAAAGTGTCCAAGTGAAATGAAGTATTACAGAAGCATGCGCTTGCGCCGTCGACCAACAAAAAGCAACTCGGCACAAGAACGGGATGAAAAGGAACGACTGGAGAAGAAAATGAAGATGTACTGGGACAAAAGAGATATCTGACCGATGAACCAAAGACGAAAGAAACCAGCGAAAGGAAAGGGACGAAGGGAGCAGCGCAGAGGGATCGGAGTTGGGAATGAGGAGGCGCTGCCTGGCCGAAAAGAGCAAAGGTTTATCGCCTGCTGACTCAGCCTATCAACGATCACGTGTGGCTACTACTAGGTATGTAACACTGGGGATGGAGATGTCTAGACGCCACCAGTTGTTTTAATATTATGTATATCCAGTCTGATCATATATACGTGTTGTGGCAGTGCGAGACTGAAAGAATGTTGACTACAGATAAAGTAACACCACGAAACTCGCTACAGTACTAAATCCTCATTGATGCCGATCAACAACCAATCACCTGGCGTATATCGATAACACAGTCTCCCGCTTATCGGAGGCAAAAGAAGAGGAAGACAAAGACATGAACAACATTCAATTCTTGTCAAAGAACTCAGCCAGCTGCTGATCCAGCCATTTGACATCCTCTTTGCTCTGCCCTGGACCGCCAGCCCAATCTACAATAGGCAGCGTTAGACTAGAATCTCGTTGGTTTGACATGGAACACACTTACGTCCCCAGATCGAAGGAAAGACCTTCAGAGTCCCAGTCCCCCGCTGCATGAAAGCAACCTCGTATTCCGAGTCTTCCGGCCTGTGGACGGGTGTCAGCGGTGGCCATGCCTAAAAGGACGGCACTTACGGGAAGTAAAGGTCCGTCTTGCTGGGTAACACCAGGGTTTTGGCTTTGATGGCGCCCAATGCTTTCTCAAAGTTGCCATTGTACGGCTCCTGCTTGGACACATCACCATTCTGCCATGTTTGCAGCATCGTCAAGAGGTTCCCAGGATCTAAAGCCTGTCAGTAACAAACACACATCGGTACGACACAGCACCATGCTGCTGACCGACCTTTAGAAAGCGCCCAAGTTTCCCAGAAGTTCTGCATAAAGTCTTCTAGATCCTTGAATCCCAAGGCGGTTTCATACAGCTTTTCCCGGTAAAAGGCCTGTGAGAATCCCCTGCACCAGTCACTGCATTAGCATACCGGCAGCAGACAAACAAAGGTTGGCCTGGTCCTTACCATCCTGCATACCCCCTGCCAAACGCTTTCAAACCAACCTCCTTCTCTGTGTCACTCCAGGTCCGCAAGGATTGCTCGGCCTGAAGGAGGCCGCCATTGCCGGACCCCGCCGATGGGATGTGCTTTGCAGCCAGCAGTGCACTCTTGACGCCCTCTAGGAAGACCTTATTATGAAGGGAAGTTCTTGCAGAGCCACAAAATGGGATCGCCAGGTCCATGAAATCAGGGTACTGGGTGGCCCATTGGTAGGTTTGAGCTGCACCCATCGACCACCCGATCACTGCCCGCACATGAGTGATCTTTAGATGCTGTGTCACTAGCTGGTGCTGGGCACGGACATTATCATAGAATGAGCATTTTGGGAAGGGTCCGGGATGGGCGTAGTTTGATGGAGAGGTCGATTGACCGTTGCCGAACAGCGCAGGGACGATGATGAAGTATTTCTTGGGGTTGAGGGTCTTGTCCTCTCCGATTAGCCAGTAGTTGTCGGAGAGCACTAAGTAGCATTAGACGATAGTTAATCAATCAAGAGCAGTCTACAGACTGTTTGGATATTTCAGACATGTTACATACATCCAGAGAACCAAGAAGGATAGACAATTGCGGGGGAGGCGGGGTCTCCAAAGGTCTTGTATGCGAGGTGAGCATCAAGAAGCTTCTCTCCGCTCTGGAGCTCCCAGTCGCCCAGTTTGAAGGTATCGTACTCTTCCTGCGACATTTTGGAGTATGTAATTTATAGAAATTGGGTAGAAAATAGGTCGCGCACAGGTGCAAACTGATGCAGTGATGCAGCAATGCGTGAGGGGATGGATGGGGGGAAGATGGTGCTGATGGGCTTGATCAATTGGCGGCTACAATCGGGCTGGTAAGTTGCCGAATCCCCTCTTCTCCTGTCTGTCCCTCAGTCCTAGTCAAGGCTAAGTGTGATTATTGCCTGCACTTCCTACTCTTATTATCTATCAGCCAGCTTATCACATGGTCTCCTGGAGTGAAGGTGCTTATCGGATGTTATCTACGGAGTATCCTGATAAGCCCATTCTGCCTCGCTAGTGCCATTGTCTTGCTGGATACTGTACAGGATGCTGGCAACCTGATCTATTGTTTAAATGCTATGTTAGATTTATATCACACCTGCTATTTTATGCTCCATGGAAGCATCTGGCATAATTTCAAGGACCTAGACTAGGCGCACCAGCACACATGAGATTCGCCCAGCTTGTCAACATCTATCAATAAACCCAAACGTGAGAGTTGAGTCTCCAGGCAAGGACATGACTATAAGTCATTGTAGCTAAAGAAAGAATTATCAGCCATCAGGGGCTTTGTGTTCCAATCCGTAAATAAGTAGTATACCGTATCCTGTTGGGGCTGAGCCATTGTAGGGCTTCTACGCTATCTATCCAGATAGGTCCAGGGTATTGAATGAATGATGACCATGGACAGACTTGGCATTGTTTGGGAATATATGTGTTGCAGCCAAAACATTTTTGGAAGAATGACATAATTCTCTCTCCTAGCAGTATCTGCCAGTCGAGCTAGATAGTACGTACTAGTCATGCCGGCCTGTCACTGGTTAGATAATCGCCTTCCAGTGAGTCATTCATGCTACACCATACAATCCCACCTGCAGGAATCTCTAGTTGAGAGAAACAGACATCATTATTCAAAATATCATCTTGCTTTCTATTTAGCTTATAAAGGTAGAAGTTTCATTGAATTCATACATTTACTCAGTATCTCTCCCCTCCACCATGTCGACCACCACCAAGAAAGCCCTCCTCCTCGGCGCCGGCTTCGTCTGCGAGCCCGTCATCCAAGCCCTCTCTGAAACAGGCGTTCACGTCACTGTCGCCTGTCGCACTCTGCAGAGTGCTCAGGCTCTAGCCAGCAACTACAGAAACACAACAGCCATCGCCCTCGACGTTTCCCGCGACGCTGCGGGCCTGAACGACGCCATCACTAAGACAGATATCATCATCTCCCTCATACCCTACATCTACCACGCCACAGTCGTGGAGGCCGCTATCACGCATCGCAAACCCGTCGTCACAACCAGCTACATCTCCCCCGCGCTATGGGCGCTCGATGAAAAAGCCAAGTCCGCAGGAGTGACGGTGCTCAACGAAATCGGTCTAGATCCGGGCATCGACCACCTGTACGCTGTCAAGACAATTGACGAGGTGCATCGTGCGGGAGGGCAGATCCGATCGTTCACAAGCTGGTGTGGTGCGCTTCCTGCTCCTGACAATGCGGATAACCCGCTGGGGTATAAGTTCTCGTGGAGTCCGCGGGGTGGTCTTCTTGCATTGTTGAATTCGGCGCAGTGGTACAAAAATGGGGAGCTGGCTACGGTGGAAGGGAAGGACTTGATGGCTGCTTCAGAGCCACAGAGTATAGTTGATGGCTTTGATAATTTGGTCGGGTTTCCGAATCGGGACGCGGTTGGGTTTCGTGAATTCTATCGTATTCCTGAGGCGGGTACTGTGTTTCGCGGGACTCTGCGCTATGCTGGGTTCCCGGAGATTATTCGTGCCTTGGTGGCTATTGGGTACTTCTCGCAGGATGAGATTCCTGCCTTGAGCGTGACATCGTCCGCCGCTGTTACTTGGCTTCAGTTGACTGCACAATTGCTGGGTCTGTCGGTCGAATCCTCCGAAGGAACCGTACAGGATGCTGTGGCGGAGAGGGTAGCTTCTTTTCTGTCAACCGAAGAAGTCAGTCGCGTGATCTCTGGTCTTCGTTGGATCGGCTTATTCGATACGAGTGCTGTGGATGGGCGTGGTACGCCTCTTGACACACTGTGTGCGGTATTGGAGCGGCGGATGGCCTACGAGCCAGGCGAGAGGGACATGATCATTCTGCAACATGCGTTTGACATTGAGTATGGGGATGGGTCAAAGGAGAAGAGAACGAGCACGCTTGTTGAATACGGAGAGCCAACTGCTCCCGGTTCGCGCAGTGCTATGGCGAAACTGGTGGGATTGCCTTGTGCAGTGGGCGTACTGGCAGTGTTGGAGGGACGGGTTTCACAAAAGGGAATGGTGGCACCGTGGACGACTGTAGAGATAGCGCGTTTGCTGCGTGAGGAACTGAGTGAGCGGTTTGGAATTGAGTTACAGGAGAGGGTTGTTGGATAGTTTTGAATTCGATCGCAATGCGATATTGAATCGAGCAGCAAATTATGTTAGCTCTGTAATTGCCAGTATGTGACCTACATTGATCTGTCCTATACATGAATTCTCGTCTATGCGCAAGGGCTACAAGCACGATGAACCGTGCTGTCAGGTCAATCTCCCAACAATAAAAGCAAGCGTCCAGTGTAACGCATAGCTTTTGACAGACTGGTCATTTGGACGGCCAGGTTCACTGCGATCATAATTTCTAACTGTTAACTTGTCTACTGACAAATTCACCAACCCGTGAGATCAACATGATCAGCCGTCGCGAAAATGGCACTGGCTGTGATCCCGCGGGCTTATCTCAAGCCTTGAAGGCCTGTGCTTTTCTTCCCGCCGGGCTCGGGCAACAAACCCGACCTGGGGGTGAATCAACGCCCCCAAGCTTACTGCAGGCACACCTGCTGCAGGAATGTTTCACAGTGCTTCAGATGCAGCTTCTCAGAGGCATGTAAGCTGCTGGACTGACTGACTGACTGACTGTTAAGCGGATCCCCGCACGGCTACCATCCGTCGATGGAACTGGGGAATTCGCCCTATCCATCCCTTATTCCCTCCCTCTCCATCAGGGTCGGTCTGCAATCTCCTATTTCGACCGTCAAAGCGGTGGTCATGGCTCGGACTGTCCTTTCCTCCGTCTTGCCTATCCACTGGGTAATTTCTTCACTGATCTAATCGACTAGTTTGTGGAGCAAGACGACTGCTGCTAGAGGATAGTCATACGCGCCAAGTCACGCCCTAGCCGGTCTCATTTCACACCATGACCAGCTTCCATTTTCATGGCAGAATAACCAAAGAAACCACAGCATGGGAAGAAGTCAGAACAACCAGAGTCAACTGTGGATTCACATAATTATAGATCTTCCCCGCACACGAGGAATGTCCAGCCTGCATGTTATCTGTGGCTGAGCACCATCAGCCAAAAACGAGAGAATGATCGTCGTGAGGGAACTGCTCCGTGGCAGGAAATGAGGCCGGACGCTACTAAACAAGCGCGATGATCCACGACCTCACGCCATTCGTCCAATCACTCCAAAACCTGCAGTCCATCAGCCACCGGCGTGTGTTCAATCGTGATGGTGGTTGCAGGCTGATGCATGAGCACCCGTTCTATATTTGTCCTCCTTTTTTTTTCTGGCTGGGTTTTCTTAGTAGTCTTTAGTTGTTTAGTCTAGAGTCCGTCGTCGAGGGTTTGTCCATCCTTGCTTATCACAAAACACCTTTAATATGCAGCTGTCGCATTCCTCACTCCACTGTCTGCTGCCGGCTATGCTGTGTTCTACTACTTTCCCCTCCGATCCCAGTGAATTAGCTGCCTTTCTAGTACTATTCCACACTCAATCATGATCTACTAGACATCATTCCCCTTACCCCATGATAGAGCACCCACAGCATCAGTCGTGAGCGACCTTTTCGCAACTATGGCATATACCGTCGCTTCCACGGCATCAATGAGCACATATGGCTGGGATTCCACGCCAACCCTCTCACCACATTACTACAGTCTATCTCAGCAGCCATCACCACAACCATCACCGCAGCCACACCACCAACAGCCACATCTACAGCTTCAGCTCCAACAAGACCAAACCGATCAAGAAACAATCAGCACATTCTGGCGATTCCTAGCCTCAAGTTCCTCCTACCTCGTGCTAGCAGGGTACGCAACCAACCCTACCTTACAATATTCAATACACCTCCAACCTAACCCATCCAATCCAAAAATAATAGCTTCCTAGTCCTCCCTTTAGCATTCACCACCACCTCCTCCAACAATAACTCCAACAATGATGAAAATACAACAACACCATCCACCGACCCAACAACCACCATCATCGCCGCATCAGTCCTAATCGCAATCGGCTACACAATAACCCTCATGCTAATCTTCTTCCAAAGACACGAGCGCCAATACCTCCTCCACTCTATATACATGTACACATCCCCATCCACCCTCCACATCCCTAATCAATCATGAACCATCCATTAACATAAAATTACCCAAAAAACAAAGACCAAACACAACAACCTCCCTCCTCTCCCTCCTCAACATCCTCCTCAACATCCTCTGCCGCAATCCCACCCAATCGCCCGGCCCATTATCCCCGGTGCAAACAACCAGCCTCGTGCTGCCGAGTGTTTTCGCATTTCTGTATGCCCTAGGCGCGCTATCCATCTACGCAGGTGACATGTGCATCTTCACCACTACCACCAGCAGCAGCAGTGGTGGTGGCGATAGAGGCCGCCAACGGAAAAAAGGCAAGAATAATCAACTATTACCACTAACGGAGGAGGAAATGCAACGACAGCAGCTGCAGCGATTGCTGGATCAGAACTCGAGTCCTAGACGCGGACCCAGTCCGAGGGTCGTGCAGAAGACGTTCCGTGTCAGTGCGCCGGAGAGGATTAATCCTGGGAAGGGGTGGGATACGTTTACGCCGGATCTGAGGGTTGATGGGAATGGGAGTGAGCATGGGGGTGGAAATGGGAGGTGGGTGTGATTTTATTGACTGTGTTTGGTGTTGGAGGTGGAGGTGGATGATGGGATGGGATGGGGAGATGTTATTGTTGAGGGGGTTGGTCTACTGAGTGATAATAATAATATGAAGATAATAAGATAATATGTCAATTGACTATAATTTATGGATAGTAGTATGTCGAGTGGTGATATGGGTGGTGTTTGCTAGCTACGATGCTACACCCTCATGAGGCTATTCTATTGTATACTACATAGCCATATCACATCTAGTCACAGGGTTACGGGATGAGTGATAACAAATCTTCAAGAGAACTGGCATCCTCAGTGTAAGTTCACTTTGGACTTTTCATATACAGACACAGATATCAGATGTTGCTCTATTCCATTTTGCAATCTCCAGACTTCTCTTTTTACCAGAAAAATCTATTGAAAACACTGTTTACGCAACGCAGGTCTAGTGAGCATTATAATACACCAAAAAAATTCCTTCATCACTTCCCCATCTATTTGGAGATCTCAACACCACCGGTGGCACCGAGGACACGCTTGATGTCACCGTAGATGGCGAACTGACCAGCAGTCAAGGTACCAACCATGAACAGACGAGCACCGATACCGGCGTAGGAGCCACGGAAACCAAGCTCCTTACCGATCTTGATCAGACGGGAGACGGTACCCTCACCGGGCTCACCAGGGGTCTTGTTGATCTTGGAGAGCATGGTGTCGGCGGGCTGGGAAACAAGGGCAGCAGCGAAACCAGCAATAAGACCGGAGCCAAGGTTGATAGCAGTCTTGGTACCATCGCTGGCGGTGTTCTTGTCGACCATACCGTAGATAGCCTCAGCAGTCTTCTCGAAAACGACGAACTTGGCCATGGTGTAGGGAACCCTTGAGAGATTTTTAGCATGACTTGACGCTTCTGCTGCATCAAGGGAACTTACTGCTTGAAGAGGATAGGACCGAAACCAGAGTAGAAAGCACCGACACCCTCGTTCTTGAGGATCTTACCGAAACCGCTGACGAGACCGGTAGCGAAAGTGGGCTGGGAGACGAGACGGATACGGGTGGCCTCAAGAGGGCAGAGAGCGATATCAGCGAAGAACTCAGCGGCAGCGGAGGAAGCAAGGTAGACAGCGGTGCGGTTGTTGGAGGCAGTCTCGAGACCGAGCTGGTTGATCCACTGCTGCTTGAAGAACTCGTAACCACCGAACTTGAAAGCACCCTGGAGGAAGTAACCGGCGGCGGTAGGACCGAGACCAGTGAGGAGAGCGCCAGCACCCTCGTTGGCAATGACCTGACGGAAACCGCCGATCATACCACGGTTGTAGGTGACGGGGTCAAGCTGGATTCTGGTCTTGACGCTGCAGGACGAAAGAAGAGCACGTCAGCAACGGGCTTCTGGGAAAAGGTCGTCGAGATGGAACAACAATCGAGTCGCACACTCGGTCGGAACAAGGCGCGATCGAAAGCGACAAATCGACAAATCGACAAACGGCGACATGATCCGACTTACACATCGACAGGGGTGAGAGCACCGTGGGTGACGGAGCAGCAGACAGCACCAGCGAAGGCGAATCTGGAGTACAGCTGGAGGCCGGAGAGCTGGGGAGCAGCAGGGGCGGCAGGCGCCTCCACCTTAGCGTTGGCAGCCATTTTGTGTGTATGGGGGTATATGAAAAGAAGAACAGAAAGAAGGGAAGAGAGGAGTGTGGAGAAGAGAGGGAAGAGGAGAGGAGAGCGAAGCAATTGAAGCTTTGCAGAGTTTGGGAAAGAGAGGGAAGAAAATGGAGACCCGGAAGGAAGAGGATTTGAAAGGGATGGCCGGCGGGCTGCTTTGGCACTAGCGGCACCCGAACCCGAAAACTTTTCGCGGCCAATGCGTGCCTTGCCACAAAGCCTTTAAATCCGATCGCCCGGTCAACCGACAAATGAACGAGCGAACAATAACCCCGTTATTGAGCACCAGCGTTATAGTCCCCATCTGATTGACAGCCAGAGAGGATCAATCCCTTCCCTCCGTCATAGCATCGAATTGTTTTTGTGTTTGATGTGTTGTTGAAGATCGGTCACCTGCGCTGTTCCACCCTTAACTCCGGTTCTTCCGGGCAGGGTCTTCAGTAGGGTGACTAGGGTCAGGTGCTGGCGAGGTGGACGGGGAAATGGCAACAATCTTCTGAACTATAACGGGGATTTCTATAGTAGAGTATCTTAGAAATAAACATGCTACGATGTGCTCTTGAACCCAAACACCTATCATCTTCTCATCACTGTTTGATCTCTCGCGACTTAGTTTACCGAGGTCTAAGACAATAATAAGCCAGGTATTGCGACAACGGCAGCCTCAGGCATACAATGTTTGAAAATTCGCATCAACAGGAAACATCTTCCCTTCTCTGGCCATGGTTTCTGCGGCAAACTGAAACCGTCGAATCTATCCCTTTCGCCTCTTCCGAAACCTCACGACAAAGTTAAGAGAAGGGTCTGGTTCGGCAAATAACCATTCCATCCTCATCCTCAAGTGACGAAACCTGCCATGGCCGCCAAGCCGTGCTGCCCACTGATTGGTGCACTTTCTCCTTTCGGTCAACGGTAAGCCGACGGAGAACTTCTTGCTTGGTTCATAACAATTTTATGCGCATTGATCCCCTCAGGCATCAACATTTCATCCTCGGATTTGGTGTCTAGCGTTGCGACGCGATTGATGCGTTACATAGACCAGTATACGTGGTGGAATCTGCAAGGAACGCTCCAGAAACTATAGGAGAACTCACTGGGGTTATGGTTTGCGCCCGACAGGCACAGCAACCAGCCCCATCTACTATTTAAAGTATCAACGCACTAAAAACAGGAGGCTTTTAGTGGCTGTTGTTTGATCGACCATCATGCCTTAAATTCATACAAGACAGCTATCACCAATATGACGTGTTTTGCAGTATACAGTTGATACATCTAAGATCTGAACAACAGTGGAGGCGATTTTCTTTAGCACAAAATTCAGTCCCTCTCAACTTCGCACTCAAAATAGGATACCTGTCCTTCCGGTTCACCCTTTCTGGTACTGTTTCAAGAAGTAGGAAGTACTGCGTTTCTCCATGTTATCTTTCCTCCTATGTTGTCATCCTAAGAAGAGGAGGGAGAGACAAATATGGAAGCAGATTGAAGGTTAGCCTCCGTAATCATCAAGTTGCATCTTCTTAGGTTTTGAACCCACGCTTATGTGTGTCCACCAACAGAGGAAGCCGAGCACTTGGATCAGCTTCCATCATGGGATGCTCCCGACAACACATTGATGTTGCAAGCCTTTGAATGGCACGTCCCAGCCGACCAAGGTCATTGGCGTCGTCTTCACCAGGCTTTACCAAGCTTCAAAGCAGTTGGGGTAGACAACATCTGGATTCCGCCCGGGTGTAAAGCTATGAATCCATCTGGTAACGGGTATGACATCTACGATCTGTATGATCTGGGAGAGTTTGAACAAAAAGGGTCCCGAGCTACCAAATGGGGTACAAAGGAGGAACTTCAGTCCTTGGTAGCTGCAGCCCAGGATCATGATATAGGTATTTACTGGGACGCTGTTCTCAATCACAAGGCGGGAGCAGATTACACAGAGAGCTTTCAAGCTGTCAGAGTTGACCCACAGGGTATGCCGGCTCTACCATTACTAGCTCGGTGCACCTACTAACTTGAGGGCTTTAGAGCGTAACATGGAGATCGCCCCTGCAGAAGAAATAGAGGGCTGGGTGGGGTTTAACTTCTCTGGACGTGGCGACCAATATAGTTCGATGAAGTACAACAAACACCACTTTAGTGGTATCGACTGGGATCAGTTACGTCAAAGGAGAGGGGTCTACAAGATCCAAGGACATGAATGGGCGAACGACGTCGCTCATGAGAATGGAAATTACGACTATCTCATGTTCGCCAATCTAGATTACTCTAACGCAGAAGTACGACGCGATGTTCTAAACTGGGCTGAGTGGCTCAACTCTCAACTGCCTCTAAGCGGTATGAGACTGGATGCGGTCAAGCATTACTCGGCTGGTTTTCAGAAAGAGCTTATTGACCATCTTCGAGCCATTGCTGGGCCAGAGTATTTCATAGTGGGCGAGTACTGGAAAGGCGAGACCAGGCCACTGGTTGAGTACCTGAAGCAGATGGACTACAAGCTATCATTGTTTGATTCCGCTCTAGTTGGGCGGTTTTCAAGCATATCACAGACACCAGGGGCTGATCTTCGCAACATCTTCTATGATACATTAGTACAGCAGTATCCAGATCATTCTGTCGTAAGTTGATTGTTATTTTGATGGAATCTCTTACTGACTACTGGAAGACTTTCGTTGCAAACCATGACACTGTAAGTGTAATGTCTCCATCCACCTCACTCAACTAACTTAGGTCCAAAGCAACCAGGACAATCTCTCGAGGTACGTAAACAGCACATTTTGGCTTAACAGATCTAACACATAGCCAGGCACCAGTAACATCGTTCTTTAAGCCCCTCGCATACGCCCTTATTCTTCTCCGTGAACAAGGGCAACCATGCATATTCTATGGAGACCTCTACGGCCTCCAAGCTGATGTCAAAGACCCAATGACACCTTCCTGCAGGGGCAAGCTGCCCATCCTCGCGCGAGCTCGAAAGCTCTACGCATATGGCCTGCAACGAGAATATTTTGATAAGCCGAACTGCATTGGTTAGTACCTGCTTCATTATCCTCTACCGCAGACTGACAGAATAGGTTTCGTCCGCTACGGCAACCGTCCGCACCCCTCTGGTCTGGCATGCGTGATGAGCAACACAGGCCCAACAAGAAAGCGGATGTACGTTGGTCGACGACACGCTAAGGAGACATGGACGGACATTCTGCAGTGGTGTGATCAGACTGTTGTCATTGATCCCCAGGGATACGGAGAGTTTCCAGTTAGTGCGATGAGCGTGAGTGTATGGGTGAACTCAGAGGCTGAAGGGAGAGATAGCCTCACATATCATTTGTATGTCTTCGCTTGTAGTCTGGGTATTGATGATATGCTGACGAGTACTGAACAGTGATGAGGATATATATAAATTAGCTTAGTCGCCTGGAATCCATGATCTCTATATAACAACATACTACCCAAAAGACGCTGCAATGATTGCCTCCACAACCAGCAATCAAACCAACAACGGCGTATCAAAGCACCCAAACCCCTTAACCACACTCATTTCATCCACATCCGCAAACTTCGTCTTCAACGACCATCCCACAGTCTCATTCCTCAAAATCTCCCCCTTCTTCCAAATACATAACCCAAACACCCCCAACTCCGAAACCACATCCGACTCCTCCACCCCCATCCTCGACATCAGCACATTTCCCACAACCGGCGACCTAATCCTCTCCATCAACACATACCTCCCCCACTCGGATTCAGAATCCATCCCCAAAAGAAACCCCGGTATATCCTCCCCGTAGATATTATGCCCTCCGCCTTCGAGCGACGGCTTCAGAATATACCTCCACGCTGTCTCAGGATCCGTCGCCAGCCCACGCGCATAATTCCCCTCCTCAGAATCACCATCCATCGGGTACATACCCACAAACGTATCTCTAATAGCCAATACCTTCTCCTCGGAATCAAGAAACCTCTCCAACACCGCCGGACCCATGAGAGCCTGCTGCACCTTCTTAAACATCAACACATGTCCCAGCACCGACGGACACTTGATAGCCCGCGACTGCTCCAGCCTGACTCGACATTCTATCCCCGCAGCATCATACTCATGCACTTCGAGCCCAGCGCGCAAATACACAACCGATATCTCTACCGGCTTGCTCCCTTCACCCTGTAAATGCGGATAAAACAACAACTCCCGATCCCCACCAAGACAAGTCCTCCCCAACACATCGTCCCCCCACTCAACCCTATACGTCGGGACAGGAACATCCCTATCCCACAGCGCATACTCAATAGGCAACTCATCAGCAACGTTAAAGTTATCCGGCTGGACAATGAAAAGCACACCCGTCTTGGTAGCCAGATCGCTTTTAACCGGGCCATATATATCATGCGCCGTAGCAAGAGAATCAGCTAAGCCTTTGATATTCTCATTCGTAGGCAGGGAGGATAGCGTAATTGGACTTTTCTCCCTTGTTTCTTCCCCGTTCGCATTCGACAAAGAATCATACACACCCGTCCTCGTCAAATACCGATGCATATCCACCACTTTCTTCGCATGACATCCTCCCGCGCACGCGATAGTGTTGAACTCGACTTGCTTGAGCATCAATCCCGCATCTTCACTTTCTTCAAGGCTAATCCCGACTTCAACTTCACCTTCCTCCTCGTTGTAATCTCCAGGAACATGAAGCATATAATCCGACCGGAATATCCCCATCGAGATATCGGAGCCATACCCCCCTCCTCTTTTACTCTTTATCCGCAGATGAATCTCCCATAATATCCTCGCGAAGGGGTCTACAGGGAGAAGAGGTTTAATTACCGAGTTGTAGAGCCAGGACTCGTTGTCTGAGAGATGGGCGTAGAGCTCGTTGTAGATTGGTTGGAGGGTGTGTGCCTGGTGGAATAGGGCCCTTGGGAAAGGAGTGGGGAAGATGCTGGTCGAGATGGGGTAGCTGCTGCTGTTGCTGGTGGTTATGTTGTGGGAGGGTTGGGGTTGGTTGAAGTGGATGATGTGTTTTAGGTGCATGCCGTGGGTTAGTTGGTAGTTGAGGATTTGGGTGGCTAGGTGGTGGTGGCTGAGGGGGTCGGGGGTCGTGGGGGGGTACATTTTTATGATGGTGGTGATTATGATGATGATGAGGTTGTTTTGGGGGTATGGGTTGTTTGCAAAGTAGTTGTGGTCTGATGGGTGTGTTGGAGGTTATTGTTTGGTTGTATGTTGTAGTTGAGGTTGAAGATGAGGATAAGGCTGAGAGTGCAGTGTGTGCACTGCCTCGTTTTGTGGGTGATTGGTTGGTTAGGAGGTGGTCTTGTAGCTGCTGGTGTAATTTATATTCATGTCGTTAGTTTAGATTCTACGAGCTGGTTGTTCTGGCGTTTGAGATGGTTTACATTATCATACCTCCATCGAGGAAGATTGTTTATACTAGATGATGGTGGTACTAGCGAGTGTAGCGCGATGGGATGGTAAGTAGTGTATATATAGTGTACACAGGAGTATGATTTCTTATACTTCTCTGCTCTACTGGTATATACTATAGCCTTCTTTGCCAGTAGTACATCGGTAGTTGGATATTACTACTATGCACACTGCCGGATAGTGAATTTCAAATGGTAAGTTAGTACTTACTGCTAGTAATATATTTCCAATATGAAGAGGGGTATCAGCAACGTCATAGATCCATCCCTCTCCTACTCGTTGGTGTGTAGTGACTGTCTCACGACACAACCACTTATGTACACACCAACTATCCAGCACTATCAGAGCTGGTTTGTATCACTGATCACCCATCAGAAGCCATGTTCTACAATCTGGCAACGGAGTAGAATCCGGCCGTGGATGCCGAGGACCTCGCATTGCGGGGTCCTTTCGGCGCTGACAAACCCTTATCGGCCCGGAAGTCGGTAGTCACGGTCTAATCCCACGCACTTTTCTACCTCCAAGGCATTCCATTGGCCGTGGAATCTACGTCCAACTGTGATCTGCGGTCGTGGAATTAAGCATCGGTCAACCTGGCCCGGATGGAGTGAACACCTGCGCGCCCAACTAACGCAATGTCATCAGGACAGAAAAGTGTCTTTGCCATCCTCATGCGACGCTCCATCTTCTCTACAGTCTCCTTCGCTTCCAAGCTACCTGTCAAGTTTCAGTAAGTAACCCGTACAGCAGTTTCCCTGTCGCCGACCATCCTCGATTCACGGAGAATCGGCGCCGGTGGGAGTGCCAACCCCACGGTTAACCCTTGCGCATACTGACATCAGGCAGTAACTGCAGGATACCACCTCGTCGCCTAAACCTCCACAACCCCTCTCGATCGTTTAGCCAAACATCCACCATGTTCAGAGTTGGAGACGATTTCGAAAAGCTCCAAGCCTCCCGGCCCGAGTTCAAGCGTGACGTTCCCGTCACTTTCTCGCAGCCGCCGAACCCCAGCTGGAAGCAGGGAGAGGGTGCCAACGATGGCGGTGAGAGCCTGAAAAAGAACCACATCGAGATCGATCCCTACGAGGAAGGGCGACCGGCTGCCTCCAACTATAAGCTTTTGATCTCGGGTATCGTCCCTCGTCCGATCGCGCTCATGAGCACGAAGTCCAAGGATGGAAAGACGACAAATTTGGCGCCGTTCAGTTATTCGAATGTCATCAACCATGACCCTCCGCTTTTCACGGTCGGAATTGTTGGCTCCCTAGAAAAGGCCAAAGACACATTGAAGAATCTGGCGGAGACGGGCGAGTGTGTGATCAACATCATTTCGGAGCATTTCGTCGAAGCTGCCAATGCGACAGCCATAAACGCTCCCTACGGAGTCTCTGAATGGGAAATTTCCGGGCTCACCCAAGCACCTTCTGCCGTTGTTCAGGCGGCGCGTGTGAAAGAATCCATCCTGGCGATTGAAGGCAAGCTGGTGGAAACCAAGGAATTCGAGAGCCGGTCTACGCCCGGCAAGATATCCGGAGTGCTGGCGATCATTGAGGGTGTTCGTTTCTGGGTGAGAGAAGATGCGATCAACGAAGACAAGAGCATTGTCGACCTGAAGGTGCTGAAGCCTATTAGTCGGCTGGGAGGCATTTCGTACGGGCGGACCACCGACGCGATTGAAATCCCAAGACCGCAGTTCTAGATTCGGCTTAGATCCTGGCCGTTGCGATAAACTAGTGACCGTGGTACCTCGCTTCGAGTCAGGGAGGGGCCGTTGAAAGCTCCGTATAGCCTCGGTTCATCGTATACACTAGAATAGTCAAGAATAGATAGAAGATAGATTCGGTCAGCTAGAGATTTTGAAATAGATCGTGAAACTCAAAAGCCGCTGAAAAGAAGAATCACCGCGATGTGCTCGTCAACATTGTTGATTGTAGAAATAGCCGAAGCATACCTAGAGATCGGAGAAGAGGCCGACCGTGGACTGAAGCGTGGGGATGGGGAAGTGGATACGTGCCATTTAAGGTAGGAGAAACTCCGGGCCTCCGGACGGAGAAAATGGAGGAGAGAGTCCACTTTTTCCCTCCCCAGACGGAGTCCAGACTCTAAGAGTCGAGGCGATCAAGATCCAGGTGCTTGGGACTTGGAACAACAATGCAAACAAGGCTTCTGGGATGTTTCGCCTTGGAACGAGGATAGTTGTCGTATCGTCCATTCCAACCTTCCTGAAAAGGCATAACTTCTGAGACTGACTGACTGACTCTGACTCGCTCAGATTACTTACTCGTATGCAGTTCTTCCCTTCCACACTATGGTACGACGGTGCACTAGTCGTCGTCTAGTCGGTACGACACGGTAGTTGAATCCAGTCCAGTAGTGCCCATTGCAGTCCAGTCATGGCTGGCGTGTCCCAGTTCTTAATAATAACTAAGCGGGTAACTAAGTAGTTAACGTCAACACTTTGCAAGTCACATGGACCACCAGCGATGGGGCAAAAGACGGGGGTGACGGATCAGAGCCGGGCAGTTACTTTTCCCTCCGGGGAGGTTTTCTGCTGTGATCAATCCTTCAGTTCTGTCCCTGATCCCTTCGGTATGTAACGGGACTCCGCTTAGGGTCGGATCGAATGATCCTTGAAGGAGAGTTGTAATTTCATCCTGCCTACTTTGTAGTAGTTTCCATCATCTTCCGAGTGAACGAATCAATACGAAAGGGTGAGAGGCGAGAGACGGGCCAAGCGAGGCCGGTCACTAGCTGCTACTTTACTAGCCAGCGGTCATCCTCCCGCCTAGCCTGGAGGGTTAAGAAAAAAACGAGGCATCTCGTGATCGGTAGAAAACAAAGAATCCCCATCGAATCCAGCATCCCTTCTAGGCGGTCAGGCTAGAATTGCTTGGGCCTTGCCTTTTGAGGTGGCTTATTTTTCCGACGCGCCTGAGGAGCGCAGGAGAACCAGAGCAGCCAAGGGCTTAGCTGGCCGATTCTCGACCCAACAATCAATCAGTCAATCAATCAATTCCTCTCTGCTTCCTTCCCCCCCGGTTGACTTGCCTACGTACTGACTGTTAACCACTAGTCCCTTACTAACTTTAGTTATACTTCTGCGTGGTGTGTCCCTCTGGCGCAAGCGTGACCAGGTACACCTTCTACTAACTTTCGCTGCTCTGCTTCTCTTTTGCTGTTCCCGCCGACGCCCTACGGGGTAGAAACAAATAATATCATTCGCAGCATAAAAATTGCAGGGGATTATTGACCAAATAGGAAAAGAAGGGGAAAGAAGAAAAAAGGAAAAAAAAAAAAAAAAAAAAAAAAAAAAGAAATTCAAAACGAGAAAAATAAAATAATAAAATAAAAAATCTACCAACTAAAAGGAAAAAGAAAACGAGCGTGAGACAGGGAGTGAGTGAACTCACCCTCTTTTCTCCCCTCATCCACTTCCGCTTCCTTTTGCCTCTCTATCCCGCAACAGTCTTCACCGGACACGACGTGGGATCAAGACAACTTACGTCCATGGATTTTTCTCTCTACTTGGTGCTCCCATCCAAGGCTCTTCAATACCGCCGTTCTCCTCGACCTCTTCACTCTCCGCTGGCGATTCCCTTGTGTCTTATCCTTGGGAACGATCGTTCGCCCTAATTCCTACACCCTTACAATCAGATGCCCAATGTGTCGTGACCCCGGATGATAATTTGCTCGCAATGAGCCACCCTTCTCCCCAGAAGAACGGCGGCAATAATGTTCCCCCTCCAAGACAGATCCGCTTCGTTTCAACTGATGGGCAGCCCCAAACTAAGCGGCGACGAGTTAATGCGGCGTAAGTCATAATCGCCTTCTTTCCCCCCCCCCCCATGCCCCCGGTCTGCTCATCCTGTGATGAATCTAACCTGATCGCTCCCCCGTGGGGCCAACCATAGATGTCTGACGTGTCGCAAGCGCAAAATCCGTTGCTCCGGCGAACAACCAGGTAATCAGTGGCTGATATTAGACTTGATCATGGCCATCGTTTGACTCATTTGCTTGAATGCATAGTGTGCAAAACATGTTCCGATTACAATCACATCTGTCAAGGGTACAGCGAACCGTCTGCCCATGCCCGGTCACAATCCGACGCAGCATCACGAACTCCTACAATTGCCCCTCTACCGCCTCCCAGTGATGCGACTGCCTTGCGCGCGGCGCGGAAGGCCGCAAGTCGCTCCCCTAGTTCTCCGCGCCGAACCATAGTACCTATTACTGGCGGTGCTGATAAGCCTTCCGAAGCACTCAAACTGCTGGAGCCAAAGGAGGAACCCCTACCGACAGACACATCTTCGCGGACAACAAAAGAACTCGAGCAACAGAACAACGGGGCCAGTCCAGAAAGCAGTATGTTATGGCACTTTTATAGTTTCTCGAATGTCTTGTATGAGTGGCTATGGCTTATCAGACTCTTTGTTGTCTAGGTCGCACCTCGCTAAGTTCCAGCGCACGCACTCATGTGCCCTACTTTAGGTATTTTGGGCCAACAGCTATTGTCCCTGGCTTCAAACAGATGGTTCGCATACATACTCCAAGATGATGCCCTGAGGTCGCATCGTTTAACGCTCCCTACAGGTCGTTCAGGTGCGAGGATCGCGCAAGAGCAATCCGTCACTGTCATCAGGTCTGCACTCCTGACTATTTCACTTTTACTGGCTTCTGCAGGCGAC